GTGCTACTTGGTATAACTTGTAGAATAACCTTGTTTGTATGTATAGTGACCTTGCTGGACTATGATAGGAACTGTGTGAACTCTATGGCACATGTGGGAGAGAATTCATTTATTTATTGTGTTGAGTCTTCCGGTTCATGAACACGACACTTCCTGTCACTTATCAAATGCTTTGTTGTGTTAACTATTGGTTCATGTGCAGGGGTTGATTTTCAAATGCTGAGACAGCCTTGCATGGCTGGAATACATTCCACTTTATGGTGGAGCACAATTCTTATCACACACTATTGGGTTCAGTTCTTCTAGGATTGTGTTGAGAATGTGTGCCCCCAAGTTTGTGAGAGATATTGGTGTGTAGTTCCTTCCTTCCTTCCTTCCTTCTTTCCTTCCTTCCTTCCTTCCCAAAAATTTGTGTAGATGAATCATTTTTAAAAATCTTTTCATATTTTTAAAAACTTTTTTGTCTCTCTTTTTCTCTCATATCTCTCACTTCTGCTTCCTTTTCTTATTCTATGTTATCTGTTTTTCTCTTTTCTTTTTATACTTTTTTATTTTTATTTTCCTAGTCTATATTTTATTTTATTCATTATTATTACCTTTTAAAAAAGTATTAGCATTATTTCCTTTATTTTTATTTTTTAATTCTTATTATTTTTGTTTTCTCTTCCATATTTTCTTTCATATTCACTATTTCTCTTTTTTTTCCAAGATTTTTAAAAATGATTTTTAGAGAGAAATGAAGGGAAAAGGAGAGAGAGAGAGAGAGACCAATGTGAGTGTAACATCAATCTGCTGCCTCCTGCACACCCCCTATTGGGGATCAAACCTGAAACCCAAGCATGTGCCATGATCAGGAATTGAAGGGCAACCCCCAGGTGCATGGGGCAACAATCAACCACCTGAGACACATGGGCCAGGGCTCATTTTTGGTATTTTTTTTCCTCTAATTCTTTTGGTCTCTTATCTTTTAATATTCTTTTCTTTTTTGTTGTAGTTGTTTTTGTTGGTGGTTTGGTTTCTATTTTGTATTATTGTTAGTTTGGTCTTGTTTTGTCTTATTTTGTTCTATCAGCACCTATATAACTGTTGGCATGACGTGGTCAGGGTTGAGCCTCACAGTCAGCCAGCCTGAGGGTCAAACCTTCCCATGAATGGGGCAACAGCAATGAAGACCGAATTATGACAGGAGGGCCCATATAACCCACACAAGGGACATTCCTAGAGCACCCAGCTCAGAAGATCAAGGAGACCACACCACTGGGTCCCACCGGACACCCACTACAGTAGGCCACCCCATTAAGATGGAGTCATAGCAGAGCTATCTAATGCATAGAAACAAACACACAGAAACAGCAATAATAAAAATAAAAAATGGGGAAGCAAACAGGCCCCCAGTGAAAGAACAGGAGGATTCTCCGTAAAAACAGATAAATAAATGGAGGGAAGCAATTTATCAGAAACAGAGTATAAAGTACTGGTTTTAAGAGTACTCAACGCATGAAAAAGAAACCACAGAAAAACAACCAGTTGGAAGTGAAGACTGACATATCCTAAATAAAAAAGACACTGGAAGGGATAAACAGTAGACTAGAGAAAACTGGGATCAAATCAGCAAAATAGAGGCAAGGTAGAAAAAGTCACTCAATCAGAGCAGCAAAAAGAAAAAATAATTTAAAAGCATGAGGATACTTCAAGGGAACTTTGGGACAACATGAAACCTGACAATAGCCACATCATAGGGATACCAGAGGGAGAAGAGAGTGAACAATGAATAGAGAACCTGTTTGAATAAATAATGACAGAAGACTTCCCTAAGCTGGTGAGGGAAAAAGTCACACAAGTTCAGGAAGCACAGAGAGTCTCAGGCAAGAAGAACCCAGAGACCCACGCCCAGACACATCATAATTAAAATGGCCAAGGGTTAAATACAAAGAGAGAATCTTAAGGGCAGCAAGAGAGAGTCAGTTACCTACAAGGGAGCCCCCATAAGGCTGACAGCTGATCCCTCAACAGAAACTCTACCGGCCAGGAGGGATGAAGTTCTCAAAGTGAATGGAAAGCAAGAACCTGCAACCAGGACTCCTCTATTCAGCAAGGCTGTCATTCAAAATTCAAGGCGAAATGTTATTAAACAATGAATGGGTTACCAGTGAGATCAAGGAAGGAATAAAAAACTTCCTGGAAACAAATGAAAACTACACACAACAACCCAAAATCTTTGGGCCATGGCAAAAGCAGCCTTGAGAGGGATGTTCCTAGCATCCCAGGGCTACCTCGAGAAACAAGAAAAATCTCAAATAATCTAACCCTACAACTAAATGAACTAGAAAACAATCAAGAAAAGCCCAGAGTAAGTAGAAGGGAGGAGACAATAAAGATCAGAGCAGAAATAAATGACATAGAGACAAAAAAAATATATCAATAAAACCAAGAACCAGAAGAGATAGACAAAAAGAAAAAAGCTATCTAGATGTTGCAGTTATCACTTGGGGACTTTTATAATTAACTATGACTCATATGTTTAAGAAACTAAATGAAACAATCAAGAATGTTCCCAGAAAACTGTATCTATAACAAAAAATTGAATGGAAATGTAAAAATTGAAAAACTGAGTATTTGCAATGAAGAACAATATATATATGGTTTGAACTGCAAGATTGCTGAGTAGAAAATATTTAAAGTGAAGAGGGGGAAATGTATGTACAGAATATATGTATGTAATTGGAGTTCCAGAAGAAAGTGAGAGAAAATGGGGCATAGCCCATATTTGAAGATATAATCACCAGTAATTTTCCAACACCAACAACAGACATCAGAATCAAGCGATTCTACAAGCCCATCAGGATAATACAGGAAAAACCTTCCCTGGGACGTTACAGTAAATCTGCTGAAACTCAGAACAAGAAAACATCTTAAACAAAGAAACGTTATTTTCAAAAGTGCAAATATTAGATTTACAGACGTCTTCCCAATAGAAACAAATGAAGTAAAAAGACAGCAGGATGACAACTTTGGAGTGTTGGGGAAAATAAATGTGATTAGATCAAAGGGATAATTAAAAATAATTGACTAATCAGCAAATCAAAAACAACAAAAAATGAACTTTAGTTTTTCATTAAATATATTCTAAATAAGATAAAGCTCTCTAGTTAAAAATAATTTAAATAAAATAAATAATTAGAAATAATATAGAACAAGCATTTGATACTGAGACATACACGTAACATGCATGCATAGAATGTTGAAAATGAAAGGAGAGAGAGAGAGATCTTCCTTGTGTGGTCCAAATATCACAGCTTTACAATCAAGTCAAAATAAACATTATCCGTGCACTTTTTGTGTCTGTGATAGATGAACAAAATGCATGATAGGGAAGAAAAAAATACTTTTTCAAATCAAACAAACAAAACAGCCAATCATAAAAGAACAATCTTTCCAACAAAGAAAAAAATGTTTCAAAATAAATTCCTATTTAGTGACAGCTGGTCACTCACTGAAACACTTGCTTTGTTTTCACTCTGGGTGTGACATTGTAACAAAGTGAGGGCTGTTCTGTGAAGCATCAGGCCTCCTCGCCCACGCGGGAGTGTCGGGTTGGTGGGGAAGTGAGGTGATTGACGGCTCGGATCATGTTCCTGTCCCCAGAACTCCTTGGCTGAGAGGAAAGCTTCCTGTCTGATTAGAGGCATTTGTTTCGGCTGAATTGATTTTTTTGTGCATTTTTTCTGCCTCCACTTGCTGTTCTGTGAGCACATTGGGTTCAGTCAGTGGGTTAGTGTTTCTTTTCACCGGCTGACAGCTGGGCTGTGGGGCTGTTTTGTGAACACGCAGTGAATGCTCCTCGAAGCTCCGTGTGACCCGGGCTTTAATATGCAGAGGGGACGCTCAGCAAATCCGCCAAATCCATTTCAGCTGTGCAGGCCCTGCTGCTCAATGCTCTCAGTGTGGGGTTACCTTTGGTTACGATATACATGCTGAAACTTTATTTTTTAGAGCAGTTTTAGGTTCAGAGCAAAATTGAGAGGAAGGTACAGAGATTTCCCATCTACTGCCAACCCCCACCCACAGCCTCCCCTCCACCAACACCCCCCCAGATGGGACATTCGTCACCACTGATGGACCTGCACTGAAACGTCATCATCTCCAGAGCCCACGGTGTCCATCAGGGCCGCTCTGTGCTGTGCATCCTGTGGGTTTGGACAAATGTGTGATGAGATTTGTCCATCAGGGTAGAGTCACTGCCCTAAACCCTCTGGGCTCCGCCCGTTCACCCCTCTACCCACCCCCATGGCAACTGCTGACCTGTTACTGTCCCCACAGTTCTGTCTTTTCCAGGAGGTCACAGAGTTGGAGCCACACAGTGTGTAGCCTTTTCAGATCGGCTTCTGTCACTTAGTCACATGCATTTGAGATTCCTCCATGTCTTTTCATGGCTTGAGAGTTCATTTCTTTTTAGTGCTGAATAATATTCCATCCTTGGACTTATTTTAAAAGAGATTTTGTAGCAGACTTTCCAGATAATTCCAGACTAGACAACCCCAGAACCCCAGCATTTTGTGAATGAACCAGAACACTTCTCAGCTTAGAGGTTCTCTCCTGTGGGCGGTGTGACCTGATGCATGGCACAGCCACAGACACAGCTGTCCCTGAGGTAGGGTGACCGCCCGCCCCCAGCCTGGGGTCCCAGCACCGCCCCTATTTAGTACTGAGAGTCCTGCACCAGACAGGAGAAGTCCTGCAGGCTCAGACCAGTGGGGCAGCTGGTCACCCTACATCAATTTTTAAAACAAAAGGTACGAATTTGCAGTTATGGAAATTAATGAGTGTAAATCGCCAGTGATACTGAGGTTTAAGTAGGAAAAATAGGAATGTAAATTATATGTGGCTATTGGTTCTGTGGGGGGGTCTTGTGTGTGTGTGGGTGTGTATTTACGGCTTGTTCCATGGGAAAGGAGAGAAAACGGCGCCTAGTGACCGGCTTTCCCTTTCCCCCTGTACAGACTCACCGGGTCCAGCGTCCCCGACCTGATCGTGAGCATGAGCAACCAGATGTGGCTCCACCTGCAGTCAGACGACAGCATCGCCTCGCCCGGGTTCAAGGCCGTGTACCAAGGTACTGACACAGCATTTGCGGGAGCGTCTCTGCGAGGCAGGGCCGTCTGTGTGACAAGCAGGAGGAACACCGACCTCTCACAGCGGCGGGCGAAATAGGGACTAACGTTTCCGGCCCCTTAGCTTGGCTTGCCGCGACGTCTGCCACTGACACGTCAAAACAAAGAGTGAGGCCCCGTGTAGACTGGAAGCTGTGGGGTGGGTGACGTGTGCGCATCTCGGCGTTTTCCTTGCCCCCGGGGAGTCACTGGGCGCGTGACCAGTGGAGACGTATTTGAGGCACGTGTGCACTTGTGTGGCCTCAGTGGCCCACATGCATCCCCCTGCGCACCTGCGCTGGGCTTTTAAGGCAGGTGGGGAGCGCTGGGCGAGGTCGGAGGAAAACACAACCAAGTACATACCCGTGAAGGAGAAAACAAGGCCGTTTTAGGAGGGAGGGAGTTGTGACCGCTGAGGAGAGGAAAGGGCTCCGGCCGAGGAGGGGACGCAGGTCTGAGTTCACGGGGAGGGAAAGGGAGGGGCCGTGATCACTGTGATGCTTCCCCATGGGGAGCCCAGCTCCCCACTTGTGGCCTGGCCTCCTGGCCCTGTGGTCCTGTGTGTACACAACTGGCCACGCTGCTCTTCCTGGTGGGCTTCACCTGGAAGGGTCTTTTAGGAAACAGGTATCTTTAACTTTAGCATATTGACAACTTACCAAAAAATTTTCATTATGAAAAATTTCAAAACATGAATAGAAGTAGAAAAATAATGTAATGAACCCCAAGCGACCCAGGTTTGTAAACTTTGCAAACCACTCCCACATATCCTGCCACCGACTCAGGCACGAGCGTGGGACCTGGCACAGAACGGAGCGTCCGCGGCCCCTGGGTGTCCACTGCAGCGCAATCCAGGCCTCTCGCAGGTTTCCTAGGACAGCTGTTGGGAAATCGGTGATACTTCCAACTGTTATAAACCCCCAACCAATTCAAGGCTCATAGCACAACTCATTGGAAGTCATTTTCTACAAGATTGGAAAGAACCTATTATCCTAAATTCAGACTATAGTCATGAGAAGTCTTTTCAGGACCATTCTTATAACCCTTACAAATGACTATGGACTGATAGTTATTTTATCAAAATAACCAGGAAATTACATTTTCAACCCATTCAGATATTTTTATTAACATACAAAAACAGCATTATTAAAAATAAAATGCTATTTGTGAACTACAATCTAAAAAAATATACAGTGGGCAGGCGTTCAGAATGAAACATAAACATATGTTCCCCTGGACTGTCGTAATTTTCAAAATGTTACTTTCCATAAATAAAGCTTTTGAATCCTAAGGAACTAATGAATTACAAAGCGCTGTAATGCAGTAAGACTGGTGGTTGTTTGGGTTGTTTTACTGTAGGGGACTCTTAAAAAGAATTAACTTGTAAGTTATTGTCAGGAGAGATTACGAAATGGACCTGGGCAGAAAGAACAAATTCCTGGGCATCCTTTCAGGGTCTAGCTCACTCTCCTGATGAACCAGCTCCTTAGAGCCTGAGCCCCTCGGGCCCTTGAGCTGTTTTACTGATCTGGAAGTTGTAGGACACTGAGAGCAACGGAAACGATTCCTGAGCCCTGAAATGCGAATGCGTGTTTTCTGGAGGAGACACAATTGATTGCAGCCCTGTGGACGGATGAGCTGAGGGCTCGGACCCCACTGGCGAATTCATTCCAGGGCTGCCCACGGTCTCTGCGCCTGTCCCGTGGTTTCTCCTCTGAAACAGTTCTCCAAGCGTCCCACTGGGCCCTTCATTAATTACTGTTCCTTCCTTAATTACTGAGCTCACTGAAGTCTCTTAGGTGATGGATGGGTGAGCGTGCAGGTGAAGACGGGAGAGATTCATCCGGAGGGTCGGGGTTTTTTCTTTCTTCAATTGTACGTTGTGAACTTGAGTAGAGACACGTGCTCCGGTCCAGGCGCGGCCAGTCTCCAGGAGCTGGGAAAGCGTAACAAGAAGTAATTGCACAGCAAGCCCGTGAGGCAGGGGGTTAAGAAGCGTCTTCCAGCCTCAAAGCAAAGGGCGCCGTGTGTGATCGTGTCGTGAGTTCGGGGGGATGCGCGGGCTCGGCGACGCTGTCTTGTGAGCTGAGGGAGTCCCAGCGTGAGAGGGGCCTGTGGTGAGGGCAGGGCCCGGCGTGTGTCCTCACCGAAAACGTTTGAAAAATTCCTGCTTGCTGGAGACACGGGCGGGGTGGGACCAGTGACTCTTTAGGGAGGAATGCTTAACAAAATATGATATTTACATCCCACTGAAAGGCGAGCTCTGGAAGGCGCAGATAAGTGCTGAAGACGTCCTGACATTTGGATTTTTAGGTTTGGCCTTTACTTGAACTTCTGCATGACTGTGCGGTTATTTAAGAAGGCGCGGATCACACATGACCCGTGGGATCTGAAAGCCACAGTGAAATACCAAACGCGTCCCAGCAGGGAGATGGCAGTTCCTATTCCCACAGCATGGGGACCCATCATGATGCCAATGGTGTGGAGACTAGAGGCTGGGCTCCCCCCAGATTGTGAGGCCCTGGCTCTGAAGGGTTGCAAGTGTTCTCAGTTAAAATATGAGTGTTCTTATTTCACTCTGGACAGCCACACTGCACTGATTACATCACATTGGACCCTAAGGAGCACCTGTCGTAGTCTCAGTGGTCTATTGATGGCCAGACTTGAGCTGTTGTGGAATCGTGGAAACTGGTAGAAGAATTGAGGATTTGACCAAATAAGAGCATGTATGAAAAGAAGACATTGTAGAAATCAGTATTTCCCGAGAGCTACATGAAGCTGGCAACTGGAGATAAAATAAAAACATTGGTAAAGGTGATCATTGAATCTATAAATAATTAGTTATTTGACTTAAAACAGAGTTGGTCATGAATTATATGATAGAAAATGTATACAGCTGATATTTACTTGTGGTTTGGCTTCCTAGGCGTTGATTCTGTGTGATTTTTAACTCACAGCGCGGTGTTAGGAACAGGCCCCACCGCTGACCAGCTGTGTAACTCGGGGGGGTTCTTTAAACCCTGTGAGTCAGACTCCGCCCTCAGGTCCCCGAAAGCTGCCAGGTCTGGTGCTTAGTCTTCCCACCTTATATTTTAAAATCCCCATCATAAGTTACAAAAGTAATTACTGAGGATCCAAAGAATTGTTTTTGTGAGCCAATCTTGTGTTTAATAAACAACAGGAGTCTTGTTAAAATATTCTAAGAATCAAGACAGCTTGAGATGACACTCACCAAAGCAGAACATGCATCGTGTTTTGTTTAGTAGAAAAGAAAGAGAAATGGCTGTTCTCACACCCAGGGGGGCTCCCGTGGCCACCAGACACCTCCGGCCCCGAGGACGGTCCACAGGAGCAGGCCCGGTGCCTGGATGCTTGTACAGTTGCAAGTCTGTGACGCGGGTGGCCCTGCACTTTCACGGCCCCACGGCCCACAGTCAGGTGGGTGAACTCGGGGCCGGTCACATCACAGGAATGATGCTCAGTCGGAGTTGTCACACTCGGGGTGAAGGGCGTCTTCAGAAGTCCTGTTGGGTGCAATTTGCCACAGCCGTTTACATTTTAGCAGGGGGTAAATGAAGGGAATGTTCCCTGGACGGACTGCTGGGAGGGAAGCAAGACTGACCTGAGGCTCACGGGAAGGACGACTTCAGTGGACTAATTTGACTTCGGCGTTTCTGCTCCGTACCCAAAACAATTGACTCCTCGGCCCTGTGCACTCGGGTCACGGAGGGAGCGGAGTCAGGTGGGCGCCTCAGTCTGGAACCAGGGGTCTCTGCGTTTGTGCTGAAGGTACAAGAAGTGTTGCTCTAGGTAAATGCACTGAGCAGAGGGACCTGCGGCACAGTCCGGCGGCATCTCTTCACCGTTCTGGGGGACGCAGCGTCAACGTCGTATGATCCTTGAGATTCTTATGAGGGTTAATTTTATGAGTCACCTTGGCTGGGCCATAGGTGCCCAGACATTTGGTCAAGCATATTCTGGGTGTGTCTGTGAAGGGGTTTCTGGGTGAGGTTAACGTGAGACTCTACAGACTGGATAAAGCAGATTGCCCTCCCAATGTGGGTGGGCCTCGTCCAATCAGTTGAAGGCCCGAAGAGAACAACCGACTGAGTGAAGGAGAATGTCTCTCTCTGCCAGACAGTCTTGGAGATGAAACACTGAGGCTTTGGACTCAGATTTGGGTTGGAACTGTACCATCAGCTCTCCTGGCCCAAACTTCTCAGTCTCAGAAGTGTGAACCGATTCCTTATAATAGATCAGTCTCTTTATTCATAGACAATAGATGATAGATATAGATAGATAGATAGATAGATAGATAGATAGATATAGATAGATAGAGATAGAGATAGATAGAGATAGATCATCCCTAGATGAGTCTCCCTCTCTCCACCTGTGGTTCTGTCTCCCTGGAGAACCCTGAGCAATGTTGTCCTCTCTCCCTTTCGGATGGACCTGCCCCTGTTGCTCGGCATGGACGCTCCCTCGTTGCCTGTGAAGTTGGAACATTCAGATGGTGTCTGAGTGGAAACCCAGGAGTGGTGTGACCACTGAGCAGGTGAACATTCACTGGTCCATACAGGAGGTGACCTCAGGACCCTGCCTTGTTAGTGTGATGCTGACATGGACTCAGGAGAAGTGGGGCAGGGACGTCCTGTCCGAACAGAGCGTCTCCCAAAGCCCTGAGGGTGGGGGCGAAGCTGCATGAAATGGTTTCATGTAAACTTTTGTTTTAATTCCATGCAAATTCCCAGTCAAATGTCACCAAGCTTTTCTAACAGGTATTTCCTTTTTCCACGATAGATGTGGTCTTGTATCTAATGTGGATTAAGAACAATTAAGGGCCTAATTTTCATCTCTGAGGATCAGCCCTGAGCTGAGGGGACTCTGAGGTGGTGGTTTTTCAAGGGTGGGTCAGGGAGCAGAATGGGGGATGGGAATCTGAGCAGCGGGCATCATGCCAGGT